CCCCAAAACCCCAAAACCCCAAAACCCCAAAACCCCAAAACCCCTTTATGTAAACACAACGTTGAAGCTACTTTTATTTAAAACGTTAATTAATTTGTTCTTAAGATTTTTGTTGCCGCTCCCTAAATAGGAATAGTTAGTCAATGAGATATGTTATATTAGGCTAACCTTAGAGAAGCACAAAAGCATTTGATTCTTGACCAATAGCTGGCTTTCTCAAACAAAAGAACGGGCTATGGCTATTATTAAGGCTCTGGATACTTATAAATTTTAGAGAAATGTTTCAAAAATCTTTGCTCAGTGTTTACAGAATGATTACCAAAATTAACTCAGTTATTTCCAAACAAAGATATAACGAAAGCTTTATGTTTCCCTCTTTTCTGATGAATAAGTAAGTAGTGGTACCAAAGTTATTTAGAATTATTTAAAACTTACTGCTTTTATTCTGACAGAAAGCTCTTGATAATTTTACTCTGAAGAGTCCGAACTAGGAATTTTGTCAATCAATTTTGAAATGAGTTTGTTATGTCAATCCATCATGTAACCAAATTGTGAATTTTGAGACTCCAACATGGTTTTGAAGCTTTGGGCAGCAAAATCCATTACTTCCCTAGTAGAGTCATGTCTAGGGAACATCTCAGCACTTGCTCTTGGCATTGCTAAGAGGAAAATTAGAGAGGGAAGAAGAGTGGCTACACCAATCTACTTACTCCTAATAGGATAATTTTGATAATTTGGAATGTTTTCATATCCCATAGCTGGGTTCATCCTTTGATTCACAAACTGAGTGCAGCTCCCTCTTTCTGGTCTATTAGACATGTTGTGAATCTCAGGAATGTTATTTCTCTAACATAGAATCAACAAAATAGGACGAGTTTCAGGGACTGCCTTTTACTTCTTTGCTACTATAAAATTTTAGGCATGAATTTTGACTAATTTTACCTAAGATTGAATGGTTCATCCAGAGTTCTCTCCTCTTCCTTACTCTGTAGCTCATTGTATTTATTGACTCTTTCAAATGAAAGTGGGGGAATAGGCTTTGATGCATATTGGTTAGGGTCCATTGTGAATACAGGCGTTCTTCTCAGCTCGTTTCTATTCGGTTGGTAGCTAAACTGATCCCTGTTGTTACTCAGGGAAAATTCTGTGAAACTTTTGCGAGAAAGTCCATTTACGTAAGGGAATTTATTTGAATTTTTATCGTCAAGACTTGGAAAGGATGGGTTTTCTTGAAGCTTATCATAGTTTTGTTCGAAATTATTAACTTGAGTATAATTGTCTGCATCAATAGTTTCATCATCAAGCTTTTTAATTTCTTCAGGATCGGAATGAATGTTCTTACACATCTTCGAGATATACTTGAAGCGTCCCTTCATAACGACTGATGTTTCATCTCACTCGCTTTTGTCTGTTCGGATCTCTGAACCCTCCTCTTCTCGAATAGAAGGAGATTCTAGGTCTCCCTCATAATTAGGGTACTGATTTGAGTCCTATAGTTGAATTATTTGATTTATTTACCATTCTTCTACTTTGGAGTGACTCGTTTTTAGACTTTTTGTTAAGCTCTTGGATTTCCTGAATTATCTGGTTAGTGGTTTTTTCTTTGTACACATTTTTCATCAAGTTATTGCCTCAATAGTTTTGAGGGTTTCTTTGGGGCTCTCTTTGATATTCCTCTTCATGAATAATGTTCATGTTCCTTGTAGAATCCTTCTTGCCAGAGAACAAGGGGTCTAATGTAGGCTTGAGCTTGATGATGTCAAGATTTTTGGTAGAGTCTTCACCATTAGATTGACTCATCCCTTGCATTAGCTTGTATTTTGTGGAGTATGACTCACTGTGGTGGCTCTTCTTCAATTTTGTATGTTTGACATGGTTTGAAGCCATCTTGTTTAGTTTCCTATGCATTCTTCCAGTGGATTTCATATGATACCCATTTGTTGGAACTGCCTTCTTGAAGAAGGAATCATCTGAATAGGTGTTTTCACCTTCTTTGTATGCAAAAGGGTCGATTTGATCGCTAGCCTCTTCACTCTTGTCATCAATTCTTCTAAGATTATTATACTGATGGTTAGGGCCTATCTTCTCCTCTTCATTATTTTCTAAATAGCATTTTGTTCTCTTTTTGATTGGTATTTGAGGATAAATTATCTGGATAGTCTAATCTTGGTGGTCTTTCAAGAGGAATTTTATTTTATAGTAAACCTTCCGTTTCGATACTTCTTACTCTTATTGAATGTCTTTGTAGGAGATCTCTGAAAGTTGCCAGCTCTATCACGCTCCTGTGTTTCCTTCGTAGAATTCATGAGGTCATGCAAGATGTAATAATGGTTGTTACTTGAGGGAGAATTACGAAAATGAACTTTATCCTTATCAATTTCAACTGTAACTTTAAAGCTATTTTCAGAGGAACTGGCTCCATCAGTCATGCTATCTCTGTAATTAAATTCATTATTTCTCTGAATATGCCTGTCCGATCCTTCACTGGTAAGGATTCTGATACTTGTCAGTATTTTTGGAGCCTAGAGTAGATTGATTGGGGAAAATAGATTGGGAGAATCTGATTAATACTAATTTTGAAAATTATTAAAGCTAATCATTCTATTTTATGTTTTATTTGTTGAGAATACATAGCCAAGTAATGTCACTGGATCTAGTTACACTTTAGCTCACTTACTCCCATCAGCAGGTGTGTTTCTTTTGATACTTTTGTGTTCATAGCTGGAGCTGAAAAATTCTAAGAAAGGACCAATACAGTTTTGAGTATTTCCCTCCTGACCATTCGTATCCGATGTTTCGTGATAATTTATCGCTTTTGAGGGCATTATGTTGGAGCCTTTAGGTGGGATGTGCTCTATTTTGCTGATTTCAGCGGAGAATCAAGATCCCTCTTGGGAAATTTGTGATCAGTTGGGAGGTTTGGTCCCGAATACATCTACTTGAGCGTCTCTCATATTTTGAACGAAATAATAAATATATGCTTATATTTTATTCGACAAATAATATGTACGAGGGGTTTTGGGGTTTTGGGGTTTTGGGGTTTGGGGTTTTGGGG